AAAAAAAAAAAAAACTCTGTAGGCAAGAGCTCCCCTTGTCCTCCAGTAAAAAATCTACTGGAAGAAAAAGCTGAAGGGGGGCAAGATTTTAAGGAAAAGGAACCTGAGTCATTTACAGCATCCAAAGTGGCGGGGTGTGGCAAAGTGAGTGGCTTTCACACCAGCACAAGGAGATACTGTACCGATGTGAACTCTGTGAGCAATGCCCATCTCCCTAAAACATGCAGGCAACGTCTTTCTGGCCTTCACATAGCCCTTGGCCAAAGGGAGGTATTGCCGAAGAGTTTAGGAACGCCACACAGTGCGCCATCTGAAAACTTTCTCCAGATTTCCAGGCAACCCCAAAGGCTGATTTTACCTCCAAGAGCCTCCCGGACCCAGCGGATGAACTCCTTCCTCAGGGACAGAGCCTTCAGCCCCTCGCACCGGGCCTCGCTGATGTCCTGGAGCAGCTTTTTGGCCCCGATGAGCTCCTGGTTGATTTGGTCCAGGGTTTCATGGCCAAAATTGTCAAAGTCATCAGTCTGCAAGAAAAAGCTCTACTGTGGACTGGAACTCATGAACCAGAACCCCAGAATCTGTGAGCTGCAAGCACCGACCATCGCAGCAGCCCTACCCTCCCTCAATGCCTAGACTTGCCACTGCTGTGACAACAGGCACACCGAGCTCTTACCCTTGAATTGGATGATCTAACCCCCACGGCTGTTTCTCTCTCATCAAGAGTAACTATGATTCCTGGGAACCTCACATTCCACTTAGCATTTTATGTGGACTGTAAAATCAGTTCCTCACATAACCCCGCCAGGTAACTACTGTTGCTTTTTCTGCTTTATCAGTAAAGGCCCAGAGCAGCTGCTTCCTCAAGGACATGCACTAGGGTTCAAGTGTAAATGGGTGTGAGTCCAGAATTTTTTTTTTTTTTTTTTTTTTGAGATGGAGTCTCGCTCTGTCGTCCAGGCTGGAGTGCAGTGGCACGATCTCAGCTCACTGCAACCTCCGCCTTCCAGGTTCAAGTGATTTTCCTGCCTCAGCCTCCCGTGTAGCTGGGATTACAGGCGTCCACCACCACGCCTGGCTCATTTTTTGTATTTTTAGTAGAGACGGGGTTTCACCATGTTGGTCAGGCTGGTCTCAAACTCCTGACCTCAGGTGATCTGCCCACCTCAGCCTCCCAAAGTGCTGGATTACAGGCGTGAGCCACTGTGCCCGGCTGTGATTCCAGCTTTTATGCTAAATTCTAATCGTTATCTCATTCTACCTAAAAACACAAGCAGCAAAAGACTCAGCCAGGCGCGGTGGCTCACGCCTGTAATCCCAGCACTTTGGGAGGCTGAGGTGGGTGGATCACGAGGTCAGGAGATCGAGACCATCCTGGCTAACACGGTGAAACCCCGTCTCTACTAAAAAAAAAATACCAAAAAAATTAGCCTGGCGAGGTGGCAAGCGCCTGTGGTCCCAGCTACTCAGGAGGCAGAGGCAGGAGAATGGCGTGAACTCAGGAGGCGGAGCTTGCAGTGAGCTGAGATCACGCCACTACACTCCAGCCTGGGGGACAGAGCAAGACTCTGTCTCAAAAAATAAAAAAAACAAAAAAATAAATAAAAAAAAAAAGCAAAAGACTCACCTCTTATAAGACTCTAACAGAAACAACTGATTTACGGCCTTTGGGTGGAACTGGGGGATGCAGCTGGGCCGTCGACAAAGTGGTTTTCTTTTTGGCTTCTGTAACCTGAAGAGAGCCTATGACCCTTTCCAAATGCCTGGTTATGAAAAGAGGAATGCTGCCCTTTCCTGAGTTCTTGATCTTCATACTGACCCAAGAAAACTCCCTCTGGCTAAGGTAGGGAGTTTATTTACAAACAAAGGTAAAAACAAAGCCCTTGGGATATTCAGGCCTCAAGTACCACACACACAGGAACCCCTGACGGAAGCTCTAAGTCATCCACCCTGCTTTTCAAAGCCACAAAGCGCAAGCTTCCTGAAGAGCCTGAGGCAGGATGCTCCTCCAAACCCCCACAGTCCCTAGCAAATAACTTACAAAATTTAGTAAAGTGTTGAGAACACTGAAGTCACCGGTCAGTCCCAAGCTCTCTTTGACCTGCAAGATGACCTTGGCTGCGTGGACAGCCTGGTGCAGGTGATGGTATTCCTTGATCTGTTCGACTCGCTCCTTGATCCAATCACGTTGGCCCTGGTGGTCCACAGTGCACATGATCTTAAGTTCTGAAACCAGGTCCGTGTATTTATTCACAAAGTCCTTGAAGATGACATCAATCTCTGCAAGGGTGACCTCTCCGGACTTTAGATCCTGGTACAGTTTAATGAACTTTCTGTAAGAAGGCTGATACAAATAGTCGTACACCTCTTCAAGCTCAAGGATGTGCTTTTCTGATTCTTCTTCGGGCTCGCTCAGCAACTCTGCGGCTTCCTGTTCTTCCTTAGGCTCACTCAGCGGCTCTGCGGCTTTCCGCCAAAAGATCTGGAAGATGTGGCTGTCTCTGAGCAAGTCTATCTTCCCAGCCATTTCTCGGACCTGGGAGCTCAGGTGGTAATGCGTTTCCCTCTCTGAGTTCGAGGAGGTGGGCAGTCTCACGGTCACGGCTTCGTTTAATCTTTTACTGCTGAGGTCTTGTGAGTGTCTTGTTGCAAGCTCTCCAAAGTCCACTTTAGAAACCAAAAGAAAATGTCAGAAGTCAAAGCTCTAATCATGATTCCATTTGAGTTCACCTTCCTAAGACTTACTCTCCTGACTTCTCTGCGTGAACTCAAGAGCACACAGCTGCTAGGATTTCTTTCTTGGGAAGAGTTCACAGGTCTTCCCCTCCCGGCTTGGCCTTGTTAACCAATATTCATGATAAAGAAAACATCATAACTTCTGGGTAAAGATGGCAATGTGAAAACACGCATCTATTTACTCTCTTTGCCAAACCCCACTCCGATGACAGAATATAAATTGTATTTAAAAAGTCATAAACTGGCCGGGCGTGGTGGCTCACACCTGTAATCCCAGCATGTTGGGACGCTGAGGCAGGAGGATGACCTGAGGTCAGGAGTTCATGACCAGCCTAGCCAACATGGCGAAACCCAGTCTCTACTAAAAATACAAAAATTAGCCAGGTGTGGTGGAGTGCACCTGTAATCCCACCTCCTCAGGAGGCCGAGGCAGGAGAATCACTTGAACCTGGGAGGCGGAGGTTGTAGTGAGCCGAGATTGTGCCACTGCACTCCAGCCTGGGTGACAGAGGGAGACTCCGTCTCAGAAAAAAATAAAAAGTCATAAACTGACAAGGACAGGAGGAGGAATAGTGAACAGGATAACAGGAACAGAATTTTAGAAGCTGAAAACGAGCTGCACCAGTGGTAAATGACATATGAGGCCTGACAGCATGGAGTCCTGGGGCCACAGTGGGCAGTGCTGAGAGCTGAGCGTTTTATGTCACAGGATTCCCAAAAAGCAGACACACGTTGTGCAGGTCACTGCAAACTGGGAGGTGGTGATGAAACAAGGAACACTGGGTTCAAAGTCTGTTTAAGACACGGTCCAGGCCGGGCACAGTGGCTCACGCCTGTAATCCCAGCACTTTGGGAGGCTGAGGCGGGTGGATCACTTGAGGTCAGGAGTTCGAGACCAGCCTGGCCAACATGGCAAAATCCCATCTCCACTAAAAATACAAAAAATTAGCCGGACATGGTGGTAGATGCCTGTAATCCCAGCTACTAGGGAGGCTGAGACACAAGAATCACTTGAACCCAGGAAGCGGAGGTTGCAGTGAGCCGAGACTGCGCCACTGTACTCCAGCCTGGACAACAGGGCAAGACTCTGTCTCAAAAAAGAAAAAAAAAAGACGTGGTCCATCCAGCACACTGTCACCCAATGCCCTCACACAGCAGGTGGACCCCCTCCTTCATCCCCAGCAGCCAAGAGATGCTTTATTTTCTAGAAAGGATAATGCAGAGGGGCGTGTGGACTGGAGGCCACAGATACATGTCAGAAAAAAGGGCATTTCTAGACACATGCCCTTTCTCAGGAAACTAACAGAAGACATGAATTATCCAATCTCAGGGGGAAGGAGGAGGGGGCGTGAAGCACAGGGGACAGAGGGAGGTGGCGGAGAACCACACTGAGAACACAGGCCATGGGAGGACTGCACGTAGGATGCTGAGGCCCGCCAGCCCGCTTCTCTCTCTTGACTCCCGGAAACCTGGCAGCCAGGCCCACACCCTCCAGACAGGAGACAGAAGGCCTCAGGAGACAGGCCAATTTCCAGGCCGAACCACGGCACCCCACGGCAGCACCCCGCAGAGGGCCAACCCACTTTTGAGGGCTTTCTCTTAAACACAGACAAACAAGAATGTCCAGACCTAGAAGGAAAATCAAAATAAATCAACAAGTGAAAGGAACCTGGAGGAAGCAGCACATGATGCAAGGAAAAGCAAAACCTCCAAAACAAAACTGTGAATAACTCAGCAGGGAAGATACTGCAACGTGAACAAGAACAGGATAGAATTTAAAAAGGATCATTCTGAGAAAAAGAATTCCTTTACATTAAATATATATACAGGAAAGCTGACACGAAAATGTTAGCAGAAAGTTTGGTTCTGAATAAATCTCTCAAGACCAGAGCGAAAAACCGGTGGAAAACTCGAGAGAAAAATGATGACAGTTAGATGACCATCCAGGAGGTCCTGTATCCAATCAACAGGAATTCCAGCAAGAGAAGAAAAAATTAAATCATTCAAGGGAATTTCCCAGAACTCAAGGACTTTGACGTCTAGATTTGAAAGACCTACCTATTAATACCCAATAGAGGGGACTGAAAATATTTTATTTTTGGGGGATACAGTCCCACTCTGTCACCCAAGCTGGAGTGTAGTGGCATGATTTCAGCTCACTGCAGCCTTGACCTCCCAGGTTCAAATGATCCTCCTGCCTCAGCCTCCCAAGTAGTTGGGACTACAGGCATGCACCACTGTGTCTGGCTAAATTTTTTTTTTTTTTTTTAGAGATGGGATCTTGCTGTGTTGCCCAGACTGGTCTTAAACTCCTGGGCTCAAGCAATCCTCCTGCCCTGGCCTGCCGAAGTGCTGAGATTACAGGTGGGAGCCAACAACAGGCCCCGCCTCCATGGAACATAGATCCAGGCCAAGACATGTTATTATTTCAGAATATGAGTAACAGAAAGAGTTCAAGAGCTTCAAGAAAGAGAAGACAGGTCACACACGAAGGATGTGTAATGGGCACCGCATTGGGCTTCTCCATACATAGCCATGCTGTGGAGGCAGCGACGGCACAGCACATTGAAACTTCAGAAGGAAAATGACTTCCAGTCTGTAATTCTAGACCTAACCAAGTGACTGACCTAGGAAGAGGACATCTTTAGGCATGCAAGGATTCGAGGGTTTAACCTCTTACACCCCCTTTTCTCAGGAAGCCAGTGAGGGTGTGCTCTGCCAACAGAGGAAGCAAGAGAGAGAGGGGGGCGGGGTCGTCTAACCCAGGCCAGAGGCAAAGGCTCCCTAGGAGGTAGAGGGAGACTCCACCCTACGTCTGCAGCCCAGGGTTGGCAGGTTCCTTCTCAAAGGTCAAACCAGTGATCTTCAAGGAAATTCAGACATGCAGAGATTGGGATGAATTAGAAATGAGTACAATGAAAACAGCATATCATTAACACGATGAAAACAGCATTTGACAGGAAATGTAATTCTGTGGAAAACAGAGAGTTTGTGCAAAACGTGGAAAATGATCACGGTTTCTTTCGTGGTTCACTTCTGATCCGTATAGGTCCTGATGATTTAACCCTAAACAATGATGCGACTCCACTGTGAGAAAACAGGGAGCAACAGGAGGTGGAAAGGTGATGTGTGCAGGGCACAGGCCAGAAATGCGTGGCTCTAAGCCCTCATCTTCCACAGCGGGTGTCAGCAGCTCACGCTGATGCCAGAAAAATCAAGGAGACATTTAAGCATGTTATTTGGAAATGTGGACATAAATACCAAAGAGAAGAATCTAAAAGAGGTGAAAAGAAGAATCTAAAAGAGGTGAAAGCGATCCCCCAACAAATGCAAATTTAGAAAAAATTTTAAAGCCTTCTCTCCAAAATAAAGATCTGCTACTGAGATCCATTCTTACTGTGTTCTCCTCAAACCCTTTGAGAGCCCTCAACTTTGTTCACTTCTTAGGAATACCACCTTGTACTAGGTGTTTCACATTCCCACACATCTTCAGGAGACTATCAACACATCTTTTCTCTTTCTCTAGAAATAACAGTTCCTCCATTCTCCAATTCAGGGCTTCCTCCATAGTACATTTTTCATCCTGGGGTGAAAGACTTTTTTCCTCTGGAAAACAAGAACAACAATAAAGTAACCCAGTACAGCAAACAGATGCCATTTTCCATGGCAACGCTTTGAATGTGCCCCACCTTCCCCGCCACCAGACAAGGACTAGGACGGTTTTGCGCATAGCCACTTTTTCCAGATGGCCATTATTTTATCACTTTCCTGTGATGTTCTTGAGAATTATAAACCACCCCTATCAACTTACGAGCAAGAAGAGATACTCATTATCAAGGCTAAGATGATCATCTCCTTTACAAAAATGCACACGCAAACGTATCTTCAAGCTACTTAATGCCTCAGGAGCCTGAAGTGCGTATCTCGACTTGATGCTTACTCAGTTGCCAGATGTCAAGAAACTGATTCTTGTGCTTTATAATCAGCTCCAGTTGTCCAACTAAAATCGTTCCATTTCGGAGGTCACCAGCAATTTTCGTGAACACAGAGTCAGCAGCACCCATCAACTTCTTGCCATCCTCTGTAATATTTGCTAGTATTTCCTCATTGGTTCCTGAACAGATGAACAACATAGTTAAAACAGTGTGCTGTGCTCCCCACCTCCCACCTCATTGCCAATACCATGGGAATTCCAAATAACCTCTTGTTCTGCCCCCACTTCCTCAAACACAGGCAACAGCTAGCCAGTGGCTCCAGATACGCCAGTCACTCCACTCCCCTCTGCTTTCCCCCACGACGGTTAGGTCTTGCCCAGATTCATCCCCTGAACAGCTTCTTTGTCCACGAAGCAGACTCCCTCAATGGCCAAAATCAGCTGGGCGACACATTTCTCTGGTTAAAACCCATGTCCCCTTCAGCATATGGATGGACTGACTTCCTTTTTTTTTTTTTTTTTTTTTTTGACAGGGTCTCACTCTATCACCCAGGCTTGAGTGCAGTGGCACAACCATAGCCCACTGTAACCTCAATCTCTGACTTTCCTGCCTCAGCCTCCTGAGTAGCTAGGAATACAGGTGCACACCACAAAGGCTGGTAAACTTTCAAAAATTTTTGTAGAGACAATGTGAGAGAATTTTTTGTCTCACTTTGTCACCCAGGCTGGTCTCAGAGTCCTGAGCTCAAGACATCCTCCCGCCTTGGCCTCCCAAAGCATTAGGATTATACGCATGAATCCCCTCACCTGGCCTGAATATATTTTTTAAATAGAATACGCAGAATCTTCTTTAAAAAGCCCCCACCCTAGGAATATCTACAGCAGAAGAAACTGTACCAGGGATGCAGACATACCTAGTAAAGCATATCAAGATGGTCTTAGGGAGACATTTTCATAGCATATGCAGAGAGAGAAACAGCCACGTGATAACTTTATACTCTGTAATCTTCATTATCTTGTAAAATCTTGGAATTGATTTTATGACAAATTTAGAGGGCAGAATTTTTATGTATGTTTAGTTGAACCACAGAGGATTTCTCTCCCAGTAATATTAGAGCCATACAGTATCAGGAGAAGAGGAAGCTTATCTGCACCATAACATACAAACACAGTAGCTTTATTAATCATTGCAGAAACTTGGAAGCAACCAAGATGCCTTTCATTAGGTGAACGGGTAAGCAAATTGTAGCACATCCATACAATGGAATATTATTCAGTAGTAAAAGGAAGTTAGCTCTCAAGCCATGAAAAGACATGGAGGAAACGTAAATACATATTACTAAGTGAAGGAAGCCAGTCTAAAGGCGACATCCTATAAGATTCCGACTATAGGACGTTCTGGAAAAGACTAAAGGAAATGGAGGGGGGGTGGGTGCGGGAGCACAGGGGATTTTGTAGGGCAGCGCAACTATTCTGTACGATACTGGAATGGTGGACACAGGCCATGGTTTATCCAAACCCCAGAGAATGGACAACACCAGGAATGAACACTACTGTAAACTATGGACTTTAGTTAATAACAATGTATCAATATTGGCTTGTCAGCTGTAACAAAAGCACTACGCTAATGCTGCATGTTAATACCAGGGTACTGCCTGTGTGATGGTGGGGGAGACAGATGAGAACTCTGTAGTTTCTGCTCAATTTTTCTGTACACGTAAAAGTGCTCTAAAAATTTCTATCCGACTTATAAACAGGCTGAGCATGGTGGTACATGCCTGGAGTAGCAGCCACTTGGGAGGCTGAGGCGGGAGGATCACTTGAGCCCGGGAGGTCGGGGCTTACAATGAGCGGTGATGGCATCACTGCACTACATGTAACTTGGGCAACAGAGATGACCTTGTTTTAAAAATAAATAAATTGCCGGGCACAGTGGCTCACCTCTGTAATCCCAGCTACTTGGGAGGCTGAGGCAGGAGAATCGCTTGAACCCGGGAGGCAGAGGTTGCAGTGAGCTGAGATCCACCACTGCGCTCCAGCCCAGGTGAGAGAGCGAGACTCCGTCTCAAAAATAAATAAATAAACAAACAAACATACGCAAATAACACAAAAATGATCTTTTGAAGAGAGTAGCTTTCACTTATGCACTCCCATATCAATTCAGTTATTTGATCCCCACAACTTCCCGGGTCCGTAGGAAGCTCAGCATTGATTTTGGCTGATCCCCATCCGGTGCCCTCTCACTAAAAGAGAGGAATCTAAGGTCTCACACATCAACTGGACTCTAACGTTTTTAGGATGGAATGTCTCTCTCCCTCCTTGATCACAAAACACCTGGGACAGAGGGGCTGGGTGGGAAATCAGACAGCCCAGTACTTCACTTTCTGTTGAGGTCATCAATGTTGGCTTGGACATTCTACATTGATCTCCAAATAAGCAAGACATACCTGGGTCTGGATTTTAGTTTTTACTACTTATAATCTTTGAGACCTTAGGTAAGTCACAATGCATTCTCCAGTTGTTTCCTGATCTGAAAATTGGGGGCCTTAAAGGGGACTTTCAGAAGGGCTAGTTCAAGGGCACTGGGCCAGTACAGTCACTAGGGTGCAGCAAGCATTCAATGAATAGTGGCTGTTAGCATTAGTCATTATTGACAATGCAAGACACTCTGAGCCTTCCAAAGTCTCTCTGTCCAAACTGCAGCCTTTGTCTAACGTCAGCCCATCCCAATTCAGTATCATCATGTCAAATCTTCTGCCTCCAACCTTTCCCAGAGTCAGACAGGCACCACCTTCACTGAGCTCATGTTCCCAGCACTCCCGCAAACATACCACACAATTTGAAGAGATGCTTGACATCTGCCCACGTGAGCAGATGTTTTAAAATGTCATCCAAGTTGTCCACGGCTTCCCCATTGTTCCTAGGCCAGGACTTAGTGATCACAGCAGACAAGAGGGTACCAAATTTCTGCAGATTATAGCAAGAGAGCCCCCGAAGGATACTGGTCTGAGACTACAAGAAAAGTCATAAAAAAAGGACATTTAGAAGTTTTTCATTAGTTTGTTTTGAAATAACAAAAGCAAATTACCTACTCAACAGCATTTCAGAAACCTACTGTAACTTGTTTTATAAGGCCACAAAAAGAGCAAGATAGTGAAACACTTCACATTTCTTAGAATAATTTCATTTCCTTGTATACTGCCTCCTTAAGTGTCCAGCACCAGAGATTTGAAGACACACACACAAACACACACCAACACCAGTCACCCTCCTTCCTTCTGGCTAACTGCCAGTTTCTATATGTTCTTTGCACTCTCATATCATGAAAAACACCAAAAGTGAATAAACCCTTAATATAGCATATATTTTATGTTTCTAAATGTAATTCTTTTAAAAAGCTGCCTACAAACAACATATACATTTTCATTCTCTTTTTAATTCTCCTCCGAGAAACAATATTTTTCTGCCTTAGGTTCAAAGTCTCTGCAAAACGTTTCAGTAATTAGTAAAAACCACAAGGTTAATTTATAATAGATACTTTCTGACATTTAAAAGGATAAAAGAAAAGCTTATCCAGTCACATGTTAAGGAAACTATACACCATGATCAAGTACAATTTATCTCTGGGATGAAAGGTTGATTTAACATCAAATATCAGTTAATAACAATAGGAAAATATCACGTGATCATTTCAGTAGATACGGAAAAAGCATTTGACAAAATCCAACTCTCTTCTATGATTAAAGAAAAAAAAAAAAAACCATTCAACAAATGAGGAGCAGAAAGGAACTTCCACAAAGGGCATCTATGAAAAGCTCACATTGACATCACACCTGGTAGCAAAAGACTGAAAGCTTCTCCTAAGATCAGGAACAAGACAAGGATGTCCACTTTCACCACTTTCATTCAAAGTTGTACTGGAGGTTCTAGCCAGGGCAGTTATGCCAGAGAAAGAAATAAAAGGCATCCAGATTGGAAGACGTAGAACTCTATTCACAGATAATTATGATCTTATGTATAGAAAATTTAATTCTCTTTCTCTCACGCGCACACACACACACATGCACGCAATTTGAGCTACCAAATGAGCTCAGCAATGTTGCAGGATACAAGACACACGGAGCACTGTGTGTCTAGACACCAGCAAGGAACAATCTGGAAATGGAATTCAGAAAACAATTCCAATTACAATAGCACCCCCCCCCCAAAAAAAGTACTTAGAAATTTAACAAGTGCAAAATTTAAACTATGAAAAATACAAAACATTGTTAAAAGAAATTGGCCAGGCATGGTGGCTCATGCCTGTAATCCCAGGACTCTGGGAGGCCAAGGCGGGTGGATCACCTGAGGTCAGGAGTTTGAGACCAGCCTGACCAATATGGTGAAACCCTGTCTCTACTAAAAATCCAAAAATTAGCCGGGCGTGGTGGTGGGCACCTGTAGTCCTAGTTACTTGCGCACTCCAGCCTGGGCAACAGAGCAAGACTCCGTCTAAACAGGAAAAAAAAAAAAAAAAGATCTAATTGAATGAAATAAATCTGACCTAACCCTGTTAAAATGGCAATGCTGGCTGGGTACAGTGGCTCACGCCTGTAATCCCAGCACTTTGGGAGGCAGAGGCTGGTGGATCATGAGGTCAGGAGATCAAGACCATCTTGGCTAACACAGTGAAACCCCATCTCTACTAAAAATACAAAAAAAAAGTTAGCCGGGCGTGGCAGCAGGCACCTGTAGTCCCAGCTACTCAGGAGGCTGAGGCAGGAGAATGGCATGAACCCGGGAGGCAGAGCTTGCAGTGAGCCAATATCATGCCACTGCACTCCAGCCTGGGCGACAGAGTAAGACTCTGTCTCAAAAAAAAAAAAAAAAAGACAGGCAATGCTCTCCAAAGTGATCTATACCTTGAATACCAGCCCTATCAGAATCCCAGCTGACTTCCTTGTCAATGGAAACTGACATACTGATTCTAAAATTCTTATGAAATTGCAAGGGACCCAAAATAGCCAAAACAATCTTGAAAAATAAGAACAACAACAACAAAAAATACAAACTCACATGTCCCAATTTCAAAACTTACTAGAAAGCAATGGTAGTCCAAACGGTGTGGTACTGACACAAGGATAGGAAAGCAGATCAATACATAGAATTGAAAATCTAGAAATAAATCCATACATGTATGGTCAACAGATTTTTGACAAGAGTGCCCACATCACTCAACAGGGAATGTAGAGTCCTTTCAACAAACGCTGGAACAACTGGATGTCCACATGCAAAAGAATGAAACGGAACCCTTACCTCACACCATATACACCGTATACAAAAAGGAACTCAAAATGGATCAAAGGCCTAAATGTAAGAGCTAAAACTATCAAACATTTAGAGATAAACATAGGAGTAAATCTTCACAACCTAGGATTTGGCAAAGGACTCTTTGACACCAACAGTACAAGCAACAAAAGAAAAAACAGATATGCCCAAATTCTTCAAAATTAAAGACTCTGTGCTTCAAAAGAAACCATCAAGAACATGAAAAAACAACACATAGAATGGGAGAAAATACTTGCAATCAGATATCTGACAAGGTACTTGTATATAGAATACAGACTCCCAACTCTATAATAAAAAGACAACCCAATTAAAAAATGAGCAAAAGAGGTGAAGTGCAGTGGCTCATGCCTTCAATCCCAACACTTTGGGAGGCCAAGGAGGGAGGATCATGTGAGCCCAGGAGTTCAAGACCAGCCTGGGCAACATCTCAAGACCCTGTCTCTACAAAAAAAAGAAAGTCTCGCTGTGTCGCCCAGGCTGGAGTGCAGTGGCACAATCTCAGCTCACTGCAACCTCTGCCTCATAGGTTCAAGCGATTCTCTGGCCTCAGCCTCCCAAGCAGCTGGGACTACAGGCACATGCCACCACGCCCGGCTAATTTTTTGTATTTTTAGTAGAGAC